TATAAATTACTTCACTTCCTTTGAAATCAAATAATTATGATTTCAAGTTGCATCACTGCAAACAATTGGAAGAGAACAATAATATAAATTAAGTTCCAAGTGCCCAACCAAAGGGAACATCAATCACAATAATGGTGAGAAAGGGAAATCAACAAGTCAACTAAAGGATTTTGATGTTCTCCCAAAAATATTTAGGTGTATTGACAATAACACTCAAGATGACTGGAAAATGAGCGAATGCAAATTGAAAATGGTACTCAAACCAGTCAAGTAATGTTTACAAGGTTTTTCTGAGTAACGAAAGCACACATGCAAACAGTACAGATTACTAAGAAATTTTAAGTAAGTTCAACAAATTATTGCACTTTAAGTAAAGTTAACAAAAAATTCTTAGTAAGAACAATGTTAGATTTTACAGTGTAGATATACATGACTAACACCTGGCACGTCCGCCATTATGTGGTGTTGATGGTTCTTTTATTAAAACAAACCTTTCACCTGCCTACAACCACCCATTCAATGTGTCACGCAGCCATTTGGCCATTGTTGGAGTTTATAAAAGAGTCGAGTACAAACAGACGCACATTGCTATTCTTGATGGGCTAGAATTTCCACTGAGTCAGAAAAACAAATAACGTACTCCTCTAAAACGGCTCTCTCTGCACGCCCTTGTTTGAATTGCTTGTGTTTGTCACCTATTCTATGCTTTGCTGATCTGACAACAGTCTGCGATGTAATTAGTCTGATTATATTACTCTTGAAAACACGTGTGGCAGAGACTCCTGAGGCTTCAGGTTACAATAGTTGACAGACAGTAACCTCAGATTTAATTTGCCCTTGAATGTGTATGCAGCCCTTCATATTGTTCATTTTCCTTAAACCGTGTACAGTTGTTTGTAGATTCACATGCATCTTTAGAGTGTTTGCGAGTCGGAGATCTCTTTGACCTTTCTTGGTAAAGCATCTCTTAGAAATGGTTTAATATACTTGTTTCGAAGGTCATGTACATCGTCATCTTACAGAGTCCTTGATGAAATTCACTGGTTAGGAAATAGTGTTAAGTGTTTAGTCAGAGTCTCAATTATAGCAAGAACAGCACTTCAGGTTGAGAAAAAAAGCTTATTTCCGGACCATGTTAAACGGCCAACAACTGCAGCTCAACAGGTTTGTGGTGCGGAGGGCTGTTTTATTTCACAAAAATTCTTGAAGCTGTTTTGTTTTATGTCGTAACCTGGTTTCACTTAAACTGAATGCATATGGATTTGGGTTTCCTTCAAGTTTGGTAATGAGGCAAATCCTTGGAAATTTGATCGATGAGTGTAGCAGAACAGGAGACATTGTAAATGACAGTGATGTTTGACAAAATCAATGCAGAATGCAAGCAGAGAATGTTTAATACAAGTAAAATAGGACTTGACATGCAGCTACACGTTTTTTTTATTTCAAAATAGTAATGAGCTGTGCTTGTTCCTCTGACAAACAAGCTTGTGAAGTATTCTAGAGGAGAACAGAGACCTGTAGATTAACTAGATTTTTTTTTTATATAACTTTGTTTAAACATGGACTGAATACTGGAATTGTAAAGTATCATATTTGTGGTTTGCAAAATGCTAGAAATGATTATAGAATTTAAACAACACTGGGTATATAATACATGTTTGTTTGTACAGCTAGCAAGTGTTTACATAGTCTCGTCATTTGAAGGGAGGGAATGAAGGGAACTTTTTTTTTTTTTTAATTAAATGTAATTTGAGTCGTCCACGATCCCATCAGCGCATAAGGGTTGAGACCGAATGCACAGATTCAATATACTATTACATATGCGTTTTATTTCTCAATTGTTTACGTTCACTTAAAATGACTGTTTTTACAAGCATATTTGCCGAGATGCGCATTTTGACTCATAAGTTTTTGTATTTGACTGTTCAAGCTAGGGCTGCAACAACTAATCGATAAAATCGATTATAATCGATTATGAAAATCGTTGTCAACGAATGTCATTATCGATTAGTTGGTCTGATTACGTCACGGGGATTGTTTACATGGAACATGCGCTTCTTACATGCGCTTCATGAGGCGCACATGCAGTCTCTCTCCCTCGCCGCTCTACCCTGTCTCGCGCGCGCAACACGGACAGTTTGGAGCACATTATCTTCTGTCTCGCATGCGCACTCTTGATTCAGTGAGTTCGAACTAATTTGCGGTCATCAGGAAACCGCTATCAATATGCAGCACACGAAAATCATTCACCTTTCGGTAAATTCGCCGTTTTGAAACCAAAATAGGTGACCTACGTTAATCGTGTATACTTTATGAAGCCATACTATAGTATAATGTGAGATAGAAATGTATATTTAAGTCATTAAATTCAAGTTAACCGAAGCTTTTCCCTCCACTGCGGCTGTCAGTCATTCTCTATTCGGTGTTCAAACAGCGCTTTACAACAGTTAACATGATGATCTCTTTCCAAGATGATTCAATGTTATTATTATAATTGATCCGTAGATAAAGGTCTATGATGGTTTTTCTATCTTGCTAGACTTTTATTGCTGTAACTTAATCACTTTCTACTGAGTGTCTGTTAGATCACAACACTATAGTAGAGTCGGCGCAGTATAATTGTTCTTCACGTGCACAGTAGCCTAACTGAAATTTAAAACTGTTAAAAGAAAAGGCTTAATAAACTATTGCATAGATACTGTATAATACACCGTCAATATGTCTTTCTCTTTCCTTGGTGCTTTTAACTTTAATGCGGCGGACACTGAAGAGCTGCCCCAGACAGCAAACTGACATTGAATCAACGTGGAAACGACGTCTCTCATGACATTGAAACAACGTTGATTTGCTCATCGAATTAACGTTGAACCAACGTCAGACGCGGCATTCTTCAAAGCTAAATGAAATCGAAAATTGGTTTGCTTTCATAACGTTGAAACAACGCGTTGATTTCAAGTTGATTTTCCGTTAGTTTTGAAAGAATGACGCGTCTGACGTTGGTTCAACGTTAATTCGATGAGCAAAACAATGTCAGATCAACGTTGTTTCAATGTCATATTTCCACGTTGATTCAATGTCAGTTTGCTATCTGGGGCGCGCCGCCCTGTGACTCCGTGTTGCTTCAAGCGCATCATTCAGCGCTCGCGATGCGCATTTGCACTCTGTGCAGCTCTTTCATGATCATGTCATAATACTTTTGCGCAATGAAAGCTTATTAATAGCCTTTCTTGTTCTGTCCTATCTATTATATTTTGCTTCCTCACTAAACAGCTGTGCTTTACATTTAAAACAGCTGTGCATCTGATTTTTACGATGTTTTTCATGAATGTATAACAACAATACAAAGAGCAATGTGTACGTTTTACCAGAGTTAGTGCTACACTTATTGTCTCTTATTTGTTCCCCACTAAGGAATGTTTTTTTCACTAAATGTTTAGATTTTATAAAATTATTGTGCACTTGTGACATTTCTAGGCTAAGTTTTGCTGAGTTATCCACTAATCTAGTTTACAATAGCATTTTTGTCATAGGTTATGGTCATATATTTTTTTTTTATTTCTTGTTTTTCTTTATAATGAAGTTATCTGTATTAAGTAGATTGTTTAACACACAAAAGAGTGTGGTTTTTAGGGTTTTATTTTGTTATAATAAACAAAAAATGAAATATAATTTTTTATCCGATTAATCGATTAATCGAAAAAATAATCGTCCGATTAATCGATTATCAAAATAATCGTTAGTTGCAGCCCTAGTTCAAGCCCAACAGCCCAACATTCACAGCAGCGCCCACTTTGATTTTTAATGGGAATGAAAGTGAGGCTGTGACGGATAGACATCTCTTCTATGGGTTGTGTTATTTATGGTGATTTTTGGATTGTTCTGCTGACTAAACACTGCAAATTTGGCAGAAATTTCAACGTAAAAAAACTCAACTCGTGAGAAAATACACGCTTTAAACAGATTTTTATACATGCACACACATGTATAAAATATAACCAAATGGTCTCTCAGTGTTGTATTTATTTTGCCGTTGTCGGGATAAAGAAAAGGAAAATAGTGAGAATTTGGTGGTGGTCGTCTATTATTTATAAAGTTCAAATACAGAGTGTAGGGGAAACCATTTGGATTCTGCACATTGAAGTTTTTTATTTCATTTATCTATTAATTTATTTTTATTTTATAGCCTATAATTTAGTAAAGTATACCTTTTTCCCCCAAGAACAATTCAACCTCACTCTCACAAAGGGGAATGCCCTTTTTACAGACACTTGTCAGAAGAATTTCACAATGACGTGTTCCCAGATATAGTCTAAAATGTAGTGATGCCATGTTCCCTTTAATGTGAAGTTGACCATTTAGTCTTTCATTACCAAATAAACAATTAACACATTGTGTTGGGGACAGGCAGAGCTGGTCAAGGCAAGAGAAACATGAATCTTCTTGTGGGTTTCGTCTTTGCGTAATTCACTTGTGACCCTTAAAAGATTCAAGGACAGGATGAGTGTAATAGTTTGGACACATCACTGAAATGCCTCCTGCAGTTATCCGATTTATGACATTAGGAGTGTAAGCCAGTAAAATACGTGACTGGTTCGCTTTGCCAAAATGTCCATCACAAAACATAGCCTATATCGTGGATACCAGGAAGCGCCCCTCTCCAGCCCAGACCACAGAAGCCCAGATGTTGGAGGCTCCGACTTGGTTACCGAATGCTATGTTTTGTCCTCTAAATTATTTGAATCTGTGGGATTAAAGTTTAATGGTCACTTATCCATTTTTAATGACTCGACTTGAAATGGGGCTATCGGATATCCACAGCACTTAAGAAAAGTTTGGTTCAACTACTTCTGCTCCAAGTTAATGATTTTGCAGTTTATCAGTGTCTTAATGTAGATCTTTGGCTCTAAATTTATGAGGACATGCTGTTTTTTTTTTCCTGTGTGTGTGAATGGAGAATATCTCTTTCACCTTGACTCTCTCCTCATGTTTCATCTCTGCAGAGTTTTCCTTCCGATGAGGGCTGGCCATTTGCCAAATACCTGGGGGCCTGCGGCCGGATGGTGGCCGTGAATTACGTGGGCGAGGAGCTCTGGAGCTTCTACAATGCACCCTGGGAGAAAAGAGTAGATCTGGCCAAGCAGCTGATGGACATCGCAGAGCAGCTGACCAACAACGACTTTGACTTTGCCCTTTACCTACTAGACGTCAGCTTCGACAACTTTGCAGTCGGGCCCCGTGACGGGAAAGTCATCGTCGTCGATGCAGAAAACGTCATAGTGGCAGACAAAAGATTGATAAAGCAGAGTAAGTAATGACTTGGTTCCAGTGTCTCCATACTCTTGGTTTGCTTTTTGACATGAATAAATTGCACAGGAAACTGTTATCCAGGTTAGATGGTGTTTTTTTTTTGTGTTTTTTTTTGTCTACTTTCATTTGTTCTGACCCACTTTCAGTTTTCCCTCTGATGGGCTAGTGCACCTGTTTTTTGGCCTTCCATGTCAAGATAAATGTATCTCTGACCTTTCATAGGGCCCTATGAAATCCATTTTATTTTTTCCCAAATTCCGTTTTTTCCATTTTCATTTTTGGGAATTCAGTTTTTTTTTTACCCTTCACTGTTATTTTAGTCGTAAAAAGAGTGTGCTTTTAAAGTTAATGATAAAAATGTAGTAAAAAATACAAATAAAATAGGAATGACTGTAATACAGACGTTTACTCAGTAGTCTTTTCAGGACAAATAGTACATGATGCAAAATAACACTGCACTCTTCAAGTAACAACAAAATATGGTAATGAGCTTTAAACTGTCCAGTAATATAAATTATATTAGTTTATATAAGTTTAAATAAAGTCACACTCTGTCGCTCACGGAGTTCGCTTTCCTTTTGTCCAGTCCTGCGCCTCATAGACAGATGCCGGTGTGCACGTTGTGTGTGTTTATGTGAGAGAGACGGAGGGAGAGCGGGGAAAGAATACGCTGCAAGTTTTAAATAGTGTTAAAAAAGGAAACGTAGTATGTGGCGGCGAATTAGTCTATGTGTGGGAAACACTGCATAAGTCACGTGCGAACTTCTCAGCTCGGGACTGACGGCTTATAGCGTTGAGTTTCTTAACTTTTTGCTGATGAAAGTTTGCATGCTGTTTTGATTTCGTCATTGTAGCTGAAATGACGGGTTGGGGGTTTGTGTCGCCCAGATTTGCTTCCCCCAGTCTGACATACGTTCTTCTCCCACACAAAACAGAATTTCAAACCAAATACGTAAAATTCCGCGTTAACACTAGATTCCGCGTTAATTGGCCAAGTCCGCAATTCCGTCCGCGATTCCGTGATCACGGAAATCATAGGGCCCTACTTTCAGGCAGAATTATCACAGTCTAGTTGATACGGATGCAAAAACTCCTCAATTCGGCACTCAAGTCAAGTCACGTTTATTCATGTACCACTTTACACAATATATTGAAAGCAAGTAGGGATGCAAACGGTTAATCGATTATCGATTAATTGTCGACAAGAATTTACTCGATTAAATTAAATTAATTGTCGGCTAAATGAACATTGCGAACGTGACACGATGTTCTCACGCAAGAGAGCCAAACTTGAGTCGGCAAAAATGAAACCAAACATGAGGCGGTCAAAACGGAGTGGAGTGCATTGATATTAGCTACCAGCTATATAGCGTGCTAACCTTGAAAATCCAGCTGTATTTTTTTTTAATTTTCTGTGCAGAATTTATTTTGTTAAACAACATAAATGCGATTATTCTGTGACGTATCCCAACTGTTACAATAAAACATCAATTGAGCAATATAACATGCATTTTTTTCAGTATATAAGCAATATTTAGCTTTTTTAGTTAAATTGATACCGTGAGAAATTTACATTCTCAGGAAAATTGGCGCTTATCAGTTAATCGTTAATCGATCGATAAGGTCGATCAACTAATGATTAATAAATTAATCGATAATTTGCGTCCCTAAAAGCAAGCAGCTTCACGGTATCAAATATGAGAAAAAAACAGTGACAGTGTCGCTTTCGATTAGAATTTCAACTAAATTTTCGACTATAAAGCGCTTTCCAGTGTGTACATTTTTACTCGCATCTAACCTTGACGGACTGAACAGAAGAATTGAATCGAAGACTGTTTCAACGTCAAAGAAGGTGGAGCCTCAGAGCCACACCTGTCCGTTACGTAATCGCCACGGACCAATGGTAGTTTGACGGTGTTTACCAGCCAGAGCAAATGTTTTGCAAACGTTGCTTTTGGCAAGCTCTTTTGTACTCCTAATGCAAACTCCAAAACCAACCTTTTTTACTTCAATTTCGTTTAAAGTATATAGCAGCCTTTAGTCACCGCTGTTAACTCCCGATTTTTGTACAGTGCACGTGTTCGCTGTCTGAACTCTGCATTCTTGTGAATTCTCTTAAAAAAGAACGCAGTGCAGAACCAATGCAAGTAAGAGATTCATTTTGCAGCATAGACAGATTGAGTGATTGTAACAGGAGTTTCTGCCTGAGTGTATAAATTGCTGTAGACAGAAGTCATGGAAATTGTTTTGTTCCATTTCTGCTTATGTTTTTTTTTTTCCAGTTTGAACAACCATTTTGTTTTTCATGCTACTAAAATAACCAGTGTAAGTCTTGATTTTATAACGTGTGAAAAAAAACAACTAATCTAATTCGTAAAGGTTTTCCCGCTTGTTGCGTCAATGTAGCCGTAAACTGGCATACCGTTTCCTCAAACAATACCGTTAGCGTTTAATTTGATAATTTGTATATTCTATGTAGGCTGTTTTCATAGTGCAATTGTTGTGTAAAAGCATGTATGCCACCTTTGGGCTGCATTAAACATAAAATCATGAAGATGGCTTTTGTTGAAGTTGATAAAAATTGTATTGGTAACAGTCTGTAGTATTCTGATATCTTTAAGTAATTGGTTAAATATTGACATAAAACCAGATACAATTAGGGTCAGATTTACTAAACTGGGCAAATTAGCGTAAGAGCACAATCCCATGAAAGCACTAATGGAAGTGGAAAGTTCTGTTGTTGATTTACTGACAATGCCCACATTAAGGAACACGGACGCAGCCGGATCATTTCCATAATGACCAACATAATCTACCAAGAACAGTGCAAATTGGCGTCTGGTTTAACCCAGACGTTAAATAAAAAATGGTGGAAATACCATTAAATTGACTTAGCGCAATCTTAGTAAATCGCATTGCGTAATAAATTTAAATACTCTCCTCACATAACTTTTGTGTCTGAAAGGGAAACTCGTAAATGCATACATGCAATAAGATCAGCTGCAAAAATGACTTTCAAAGCCTTTTCAGAGCTATTTTTTCACTGGTGTGCTTTAACGACAAACGACTTGGTTGGTGCTGATGCAAGCTGTTAGTAAATCTGTCCCATAAATTATAAATGATACCCTTACAAAGGTATTTAAACTATTTTCCTCGGAAATTATGGAAAAACTCAATCATGCCCCTGGTAGAGCCCCAAATTACCGGTAATAATGCATGGGGTTTAAATTTCAGTTTGACGTTTGATGAAGTACCGGTATTGCTATTGAAGCGTTTGTTTTGTAACATATGAACGTGGCCCAAAGCTGCACTTTTGATTCTGAACGGCAGTGAGTTGGCATGGATTGGTGCTGTGCTGGTCCAAGTGTTGTATGTGTGCCAGTGTATCTGCCATCCAGAGAGGCCAAACTGGGCTGGCGGATGAACTTGGAGCATGTGTGCTACATAACAATGGCTATTTACTTCAGCCTGCCAGCATTTATCTGAATGGAGCTCGTGTGTGTGTGTGTGCGTGCGTTTGCTCGCAGATGGGTCTTTCGGAAATGTTAGATAATTTTAATTGAGTTTCTATTCTGAATTGACGTATGCTTATGATGGCATATCCCTTTTCACTGGACCTGTGTGGGCATCAAGGTTCGAAGTCATTTAGCAAAGGGCACTGAATGGATGTGTTTTTATTCATTTTTATTTTATTTTAAGTTCACTCTGCTGATAATAACATCCAACAAGTGCACTAATTCAAATTAATTAAAACATGAACCTTTTAAGGATTGTCGTTCATGGCTTCAGAAACGATTTCCATTCACTGGTTCCATCCAAAGGTCGTTTCTGCTTATACGCTTTGCTTTTTTTTTTCTTGAGAATATTTTAAGAGCTGCCAATTTGAGTGGGTTTAAGATGTTTTGAAGATTGTCAATCTGTTTTGTTCACACAGTGAAAGTCAATGGGGTTCTTTTGTATTGCATAGAAGTCATACAGGTTTGAAGTGACATGTTGGTGAATAAATTATCAACTATCTCTTTAATTTATGACTTTCCATCAGCTCTGGAACAGTATTTTCATATTTCATGTTTTTTTTTCTCCATAAACCTCTGCATGTGATTCTCCGCACACACAGCAAAAGAGAAAAGCGCTGAAGCCAGCATGCGCTCTGATTGGCTGTGGCACATTAACTCCTCTGGATCTCATAATTGGCTCCCTCGAGAGTGATTGGCAGCATGGTGACTTCATTTTCTCTAATTAGTTATTGGCACAATATTGAGCTGTGTCAAATGACCAGGACTGCAGATCCCCCACTCTTTAAGGCACTTTATGACTCAATATAGTTCTGCTGCTGAATAGATGTCACAGCAGCCCGTGTCTATTTCTGCACTCACCTCCTCCTTCCAAAGGATCCTCAGCTTTATTGATTTGTTCAGCATTAAAATGTGTGGCCAGAGAAGAGCCTCACCTGCTTGTCAGAAGAATTTCTTATTTGTCTTCTTCCAGTGAAAAGCTGAATCAATTCAACTTCTTTATTCTGCAGATCGCCACCCAATTTTAATGTATGTTGTGCTTTTTGAAGTTAGCTTCTTTTTTTTATTGTTGTTGCCTGCTTTATGGAATATAACAGCAAGATGTTTTTCAAGTTATTTGGACCACCAGCCAAAACTTAAAGTTTTATGTAATGCAGCCTTTTTAAATTTGATTCAGTAAGAGTAATTAAATGGCAGTTAACAATTTAATAATAGCTACTACAATAATTGCCAAATAATGATAGATTCGTATGCCGTTAAAAGGACAAAATGACACGTATGAACAATTACAGCAGTGTGAGCACAGAGACAAAGCTCGAACGTGAAACGTAAACCTGCAGAAATGTCAAATCCCAAACTCGAGCGCAAAAAAATAGAAGATGTAACGAAACCCTGAATGCTGACAGGTCCTACACTCGCAGGAACTGACCACAAGCTCGAGTTCTGTTCTGCCCATGTGCAAGATTTGTCACTGTGGTCACA